AGTGTGCAGACATGTCAGTACATGTCACAGACAAGTTGACGTGAGCAAGCAAGTGTGAAGCTGTAACTAAATCTTCTACATCCCTCCGGGGATGCCTGCAAGTGTGTGTGTGTGTGTGTTTTTTCTGTGTGCTTTGCAGGGGTTACTTCTCGTGGCCTGCAACATCAAAGCCGGGGATGATGGGCCAGCCCACGAAGCGAAGCGCTGACTCGTAGAGGCCCCAGCGAATACAAACATCTGCATAGTTGATGCTGAAAGCCTTGACAGGGAGGCATGCTTGCTCAGTCCTGCGCAGTCCTGCGCCCACGCGTCTGGCCTTGTTCCGCACAACCACGAGATCGGATCGAAGGGACTGAGGAGGCGAGGGTAGCCGCTGGCTACCGAACTCCTCTGCATTGAAGAGGTTACGGAGGTTAAGGTTGAGTCGTGAAACACAACGCCTTCATCAAGTTGTAGCCACAAGACGCCCAAGATTCCGATGACTGCAGCTGATCGACGCCTGCAAGAATCTTGTGGCCAACTTGTCAACATGCTGAAATTATTCGACAGAAAGATCTACTATCTGCCAGCGGTGAACAAACGCAGATCCTAATGGTGGCAAAAGATGATCAACTCTCGTTGCAATCTGGGATAAAAAAATGTTAGAGCGGTTCCTTGCTGTCATGCTTACATGTATTGTTGCTCGAAATCGGTCTTATACTTAGTTTGAGCCTGGCTTCGGGTTGACTGTGATACAACTGCTGACTCTGATTCGGATCCATTGACGCGAGAAGGACTTGAGTGACTGCATGACTGCTGGAATGCAGCGATCCTACCGAATCCGAACTCAAACTCGACCATCCCAGAAAGTTGTGCAGGCCAACGGTAGGAATTCCAGTGCTGACTTCGGTTTGAACCAATCCGGCCTCCGGGTCCCACAATTTGGATGCACAAGCCGTCCTTGCGCATTTTGATTCTCAGAAGCGTGGCCTTGATTGTTTGAGATCCTGCCTTGGTCTCGAGCTTTGCATCTCCAAAGAGTGGAGGAGCAGGCCTGCGAAGCACCTTGAAAGAGAAGGCCGCAGGCGTAAACGACTCAGCCACTTAACTCCCAGCCTGGCGGATGAACCAGATCCTAAGTTGGGTCACGCTTTAGCATCCTTTGGAATTCCAATTCTGATTCTTTCAGAATCCGAAAGCCTTTCTCAAGCAATGATGAGACGAGCATCTGCAAATTCAAGGCCAATGCCAACACTTGGTTCCACAGCACTTGCCAGTCGAAGGCCATAGCTCTGGGTCAAACCAAAGCGACCCCTTCCTTTGTTGTGCTCCCTTCAGGTGGCTCCTCTGTGCTGCCTTGCAGAAGCAACTTCCCCTAAAGCTGCGTGAAATTGTTGACTACTCGCAGTTCAATTCTAACCACGTGTCTTGTGCTACCTTCCTTGGAGCAATTTTCTGCAGCGCTCTGCCCTTAGAATGCAAAGCTTCCCTTCCGCATTGGTCCTTGAGGATCGCATCCTTCCAGAGCACAGATTCACGAACAGCTTGCTTGTCGCTTGTTTCCTGCCTTGCCGTTCCAAAGCGCCAGGCCCAAGCAGAGGTGCATGGACCGATCGCACCAGCCAGCCAGTCCATCCTCCAAACGCGGAGAACCTCCTTCTTCTCCCTTTTGCTCCGCCTCTCTTGCCTCGCCCCAGCGGTAGGCCACATAGTGAGCAGCCTCACTCAAAAGCCGCGAATGCCAACGCACTAATGCACCTGTCCTGCCTCAAAGGGCAAGTATATCCATGAATTGCCATGGGGCGCATAGTCTTCGCCTCACACAATCACACAAAAGATCACGAAAGTCTTGGTCTTGAAGCAAGACTCTGAGGCTCTCTGAGGCTCTGAGGTGAGCTCGGCAGGTGCCCCAGTGCCGCTCGCTGACCTGATGACAGCTGAATTCGTTGATCAACGGTACTGTCGCCTGTGAGGTCCACGCATACGGTCCCCAGCGCTTCCAGTCCTCAAGCTCCTGGTCGCACCTCGCTGTGCAGTACCCTTTGTCCATGCTGCACACCTGGTCAGATGGGATCTTGAAGGCCAAGTCGCGCGGAGAGGCGCGCGTGCTCTGGCGAAACGTTGCCCACATCCTTGTGTGAGAAACCATGCCAGGCCTGCCTTCTCTCCACAGAACTGCTTTACGGCTTGAAACTGCCATGAATTGCTTAGAGAAGACACCTTTGAATAGGGGGTAGTGAGCTTGGTACTCGTTTAATCGCGCCAAGCCACTTCTGGCGAGAGCCCCCGGCCCCATGGCGAAGGGTCGAAAGCGCTTCGACCTAAGAGCTGCTGGCAAAAGGAGCTGTCTGTTTGCTGTTTGCTTTTTAGCTCAAATGAGGCATCGACTCGCTTGCCTTCCCCGGTCCACGAATTTGTATTTTAAAGGCGGAGACCTTGAGCTGTTTCTGCAAGTTCTTCTTGCTGTAACGTGCATGTCACCACACTCAACGGTAAAAGCGAAGAATAATTCTTAGACGCCATGGGATACATGAACGGTGCCTCCATTGACATGTGAGAATATTTTGAGATCTTCAAATATTCTCTCGAACACTTTCCTACTCCATCAACCGTACGAGTACATGCCTACCATTGCACCAGGAAGATCGTGCTGGGCCTGCGCTCATGTCCTGATGAGGGGAAGAGGTGAACAGTACACAGCTTCTTTGTTCCCTCTGCCGGTCTTTTACTGTGCTGACAAACATGTCACCAAGAGAACAAGGCTTCCAGCTGCTTGCGTGCTTACCAACCATGGGTAGATGAAGCAGCGCAGCTAGCGCTCCGAGCGCCAATTATAAGCCTCTAACACTCACTATGCAAATCATCTGGGCCGCTTTGTATGTGATCATGCTCTTGAAGCTCTTATCATGCCGCTTGTTGCTTGTCTGAGGGCCGCACTGCTCCATGAGGCCCCTAGCGGCCCGACGAGACTCCTTTCACCTAGAACCTACAGAAGCCCATGGCTTGAAGCAGTCGTTGGCAGTCGAGATGCACCAGCTAAAGCTCACTCACATGCGTGCGACCTCGTGAGGAATCTTTGTGATGGACCAACTCGGTCAAGTTTGGCTGTTCCCTTGAAACGTACCGAAGCCTTTCCGCTTGTATGTTCCTGGGCGTCTGGTGCTGGCACGCATTCAGCTCCAGCACGCGCCGAGACAGTTCGGCCCATCTGTGGAAAATAATGAGAAATGCTGCGCAGCCTTGGTGCGATCCGCACATGGCATTGCCTCTGCACTGAACTTTCCCAACCTTTATCGCTTTACTTTTCAACCAGGGCCGACCGAAGCAAGCGAGTTGGGCTCTGCCACCATTTCAGAAAAGAAGGCTGCGCTAGTGCCTGGAGCCTGCGCGGCACAAGCAAAGGGTGCTCGGCGCGGGGAAAGTGAGAACTTTCAGAAGCGAGCAACAGCAAACAACAGCATGTTGCGGATGTTCGGCTCTGTGACAAAGAAACTTCAGATCTATGCTGGCTGCGCCACGTGCTCTCAAGTGCATGAGCGTCTCAGCTTATTCGGAGACAGCCATGGACTTGCCGTCGAATTCATTATAATGTATACTGAAATGCTGGTCATTGAGATCTCTGCAGCATTCAGGGTGCTAAGGCTGGTTACCCGTGATTCAGCATCACGCTTCAGTTGGTTGCCAAAGGTTTCCGATTCGTCTGACGCGGTGCGTCACTTAGACTCTGCCCGTGGACGCAACACCTGACCCAGACTTGCGGACGGAATGTGCAAGTAAGAATCCCCAGTGAATCTGAGCACTCAACGTCCAGCTCATCTCCTGTGATGCAGTTGGCCTAGCTTCCGGTCAGGACATGGTGCTGCGGCAGTCTTTTCATCTTGCCTGATCAACCTCCGTCCGCTTCAGCGGTGCTGAGAAGGTGGAGAAGTAGAGGCCCACCTCGCAAATCTGGGAAATCACAAGCTCTGGCAGCCTTCAGCATTTTGCCAGCTGCGCACCACCACAAGAATGGCCAGCAGCAGCAGTGTGTCACCCCGGAGGTAGCCATCTGATCCTTGCACAGAAGGACCATCCCCATCATGTCAGAGGACATTGGGTTTAGGGAACTTAGACCAGGCGCCTGGAAGTGCGATTTTGAGCTCCGCGGCCCACTGGCAGATGGGCACCAGCAACGCAGAAACCTTATCAAGGCAAATCATAGCTCCAAACATGTCCAAACGGCATCAGCGCGCGGCCAAATTTCCACACAGCTGCTGCACCTTAGGCGGGGCAGAGGCAAGGGAGGATTGGTGCCATTGCGCTCCGAGGTTACAGCAGCTTCGATTGCATTTTCATCACAGGGGTATGTCACCTCCACACTGGCGGCAGTTGAAAGTTGGCAGAGACACCAAGCGACACCTCCACTGCAAGCTCCGCGTTGATGGGCTGCACCTCAGTCGATCCGGGTCACTGTGTGAATTTGCCCCCGTCCTCGCCCCTCGAACGCCCCTCGAGTGCCCCTCGAGGGTCCAGCAGGGCCAGCAAAGGAGCCGATGGCCAGCAAGGCCGCAAGCGCTGCGCTCCTCAAGAAGCCATGAGTGCCTCATGTGTGCTTGGGTTCAACGGTTCGTGTGCTTCGTGGCCTCGGCAGCGACTCCATGCCAAGCCTGAATCACACGCCCCGTTTAAAAAAAAGGATTCGAAATGCTGCACCAAGTGCACCCAAGAGGCAGCAGCACGCCTACGAGAGTGGCCGCGATGCACCAGAGTGTCACGGACTGCAGCCAGCAAGAACTAGAAAGAGCCAAAGCTTGTTTCCTGCCATGAGGCCAACACTTTGTACTCCTTATTTCGGTCTACAAGGCCGCCAAGAATGATGCCACCGATCCTGGGGCTCCGGGTACTGCATGTTTTAAAGCACCGAAGCAGCTGCATAGTTGAAAAGGGGCGTGTTCAGCAAAAACTCGCAGATTCCGCAATCGGGTTTTCAACAGCATCAACAGCTCTGCACTTCGGGAGCAGAAGCCGCACAGGGCTGTTGGGAGCGCCTTGTCGAGCCATCCCCAACCCATTGGACAAAAACATTTGTCAGGCCCCTCAAGCGGGGGTTTCAACCTAGCTGCTGTGAAGCATAGTTTGTTGGTCGTCCTTGATGGCCCCCCCCCCATGTACCCAAGCACCTGCAGCGAAAGGTTTGCACGCCATACCGTAGCGGATTTCTGCTTGTGGCTACATCACTGACGACTCGAGTTTACGCGTAGCGGCCACCCATCGCAAGGCTTTCCATGGCAAGCTCACGCTTAAATCCTCAAGGTATTAATAGATACCCCAGCTGCCGCTGTCGAACAAGCTATTCCCCCATTGAGGCCCGAAACTTTGTCAGTGGAGGTACTCTCTGCAAGCAACGCAAGCAATCTCATCATTTGTCTTGCTGCTGAGACAGCCTGCTGTCACAAAAGTACTTTGCCTTTTCACCAGTCTAAGATCAAGTCAAGCAAAAATCTTCTGACCAATGTCGGAGGTATAGAGTTGAAGAGGTTTGCGGCGCTCACGCGCATTCCTCTGTTGATCCCTTTAAAGCACAATGGCGAAAAAAAAGCTTGAACGATCAGAAATGCTTGGGGTTTTGGCATGCATTACATGAAAGTCTGCCATATTCTTGAACAGCAAACCAGGCTGGGGAAGTTTGTGCGAGCTGTCCACTTTCTTGTCATCGAAACCTATACACGATCGCACCGCGTAATTTGAGTGGGAACAGGGAAGAAGCCTCCTGTGTAATTAGTCTGGAAAAAACCCTGTGACAAGGTCAAGGGTATACGGTTTCTTGACGCCGGCAAATGCAACAAATACAGGGTATCGCACCACGATGCACCGCGTTTTCTGAGAAAGCGTGATTGAGAAACTAGGCAAAGACCTGCGTAGTCTGGAAGACTGCACAATGGCCAGCGACAAGGTTCAGGGTAAAGCAGATGTGCACAGGTCCACCTCGCAAGCATACCCCGAGTCCTCAAGCTGTCCATGTTCTTGGCCCTGCAATACCCTGTATTGCCGAATGATAAACTCTGTAGCGATTATGGAACCACATACATGTCCCTGTAATCTGGGAGAACCTGTAAGAACTGCAGGAAGAACTGCAGGAATACCATGTCTTCTGGCAAGCACAGGAACTAGAAGGTTTATCGTTTCAGCACAGATTCGTTTTCCACCAGAGCGCGGAATCGTTTTCCGCCAGAGTAGCATAATCAAGAAGCTTTCTCAGAAAGAAGTTCATGATGTTCTGCTCGATGGTTGAGACGGGCGCTTGTTGCGTTGCTTTAACCTAACCCACGCTTGAAATCACATGTCAAAAGCCTGAACCTGCTGTCTTCTGACTCATGTGTATGTTCATTAGAGTCCGCAAAGCAAAACTCTGCAGAACATGTTCCTCTTGTGAATGTACTCCAGTGCTGTGTTCTTGCAGGTTGATGTCACATATTCTAATTACTATCATAGCCCCTTGTTGTCAATTACTTTGCCGGTTCTTTGGATACTGATCATCCTGAAGATTCCCTCAAAACGCGTCTGTCCATGCCAACATCGGACTGGTGCTAGAATGTGATGCTGAGACAGATTGCGAGTACACTACACGCTGCGCGCGAATGCCAACCAATCCCCCGCACGATGTTGACACCCTAGTCGTTGTGGGCATGTTGGCAAATAGCTTGCTGTGACTGGATAGCGCGAACCTTTCATGGAAACAACTGAACTTGATTCCTGTCTGTTTGGAGTTGGCCTTCCCCGCTGAAGCACCTGCTCTTCGTCTTCTGCTTGCAAGTGGTGAGTTTCCAGCAACCGATTCCATCTACATGGACATACATGAGCACCAAGGATACTTATTGGGAACGTCTGCAGGGTTCAAGCCATAAGGCCTCCACATTTTATCCAGCTGGAGAGAAAAACAGAAACTTTGTAATTTGGATTCGTTGGCGTTTCTCTCTCAGACTCAGGCCATTCTGAAGCCTATTCACTTCGTTCGGCAATTTGCGTTGATTCGCTTACCTCTTCCACTAGGTGAAGAAAAGAATGGAAGGAGACAGAAGAAGGAAAAGAGTGAATTACGCGAGTGAAAGCAGGAAGGGAAGGAACCCCTGGATCAGGATCTTAATTCCATAACTTGGAAAACTGAAATCAGAGAAGTCTGACCATCATGATGAAAACATCGTTCACTTGCCATTCGCCATTTCTTTACCTTCGCGCTTATTCTATTTGAATGCTCAGAGTGACCGAAAGATGTCTTCACTCTGTCGTTCGCAATCAGTCGCTGACGCCTTGACCGGATTGCTCACAAGGGAAGTGCCAGCTGTCAGCTTGCCGGAATTGGACTGTTGAGACTTCTCAAGGAAATAAACTGTCAGCACACCAATTCGCAAACGATCTTTGCTACTTGGCTCCTGATCAAAACCACTTGCTCAGAGTGCACGTTCCTATGCTGTCTGATCCGGAGGGTCTGGATCGCATACTTGATCCGGAGGGTGTGGAACGATGACTGACGCCTGCTGGTTCCCACAATGATACACGGTGAGTATGCGCTAAATACCTTGTTTGGTCTGGAACGGGTATGGAACGGGTATG